GACCTAAATTTAAGGGAGCTCCATGTATGTAGATACATATGTATGTAAGTTTGCATGTGCATATATTTGTATGTTCATAAGTATGTATGTATGTACGTGTATACAATTTTATGAGCATGTGTGTTTATAAACAATTATGTATTACAACATTCAGCCACAAAATGTTTGATGCCATCTTTAATCATATCCGAACAGGTAAACAACATATTTTTTATACATACATACATACTTCCATGCATACATACAGACATAAAAAGACTGCATATATACTAACGTTAGTTTGTAAATTAAAGAAAAAAGTTCTGCTCAAGGCTCGTCAGTTTATTGGCGTAGTCATATCTTCTTCTTCTTTTTTGGCGCTGTAACCGCCTAAGCGATTTTGGCCGAGTTCAGCAAAGCACGCCAGTCATTTCTCCTCTGTGCCAACTGACGCCAATTGGAAACGCCAAGTGAAGCCAAGTCCTTCTCCACCTGATCTTTCCATCGCAGTGGGGGCCTCCCTCTTCCTCTGCTACCACCAGCGGGTTCCGAGTTGAATACTTTCAGAGCTGGAGCGTCGGTGTCCATTCGAACGACATGGCCAAGCCAGCGGAGCCGCTGTATTTTAATTCGCTGCACTATGTCTATGTCGTTGTAAAGCTCATACAGCTCATCGTTCCATCGTCTGCGGTACTCGCCGTCGCCAACGCGTAAAGGACCGTAAATCTTCCGCAAAATCTTTCTCTCAAACACCCCAAGAGCCGCCTCATCGGATGTTGTCATTGTCCATGCTTCTGCGCCATATACCAGCACGGGCATGATGAGTGACTTATAGAGCGTGGTTTTCGTACGTCGAGAGAGGACTTTACTCCTGAATTGCCTACTCAGTCCAAAGTAGCACTTGTTGGCAAGAGTGATTCTACGTTGGATTTCAATGCTGACATTATTATCGGTGTTAATGCTGGTTCCCAAGTAAACGAAATTCTCTACTTTCTCGAAATTGTAACTGTCAACAGTGACGTGGGTGCCAAGGCGCGAATGTGCTGACTGTTTGTTTGATGACAGGAGATACTTCGTCTTGTCCTCGTTTACCACCAGACCCATGCGCTTTGCTTCCCTATCCAACTTGGAAAAGGCAGAACAGACTTCGCGGTTTTTGTTACCGATGATGTCGATGTCATCGGCATAAGCCAGCAATTGCACGCTCTTGTAGTAAATTGTTCCTGAGCGGTTCAGTTCTGCAGCTCTTATTATCTTCTCCAACATCAGATTAAAGAAGTCACATGAAAGGGAGTCGCCCTGTCTGAAACCCCGTTTTGTGGCGAACGGCTCGGAGAGGTCTTTTCCAATTCTGACGGAGCTGGTGGTATTGCTTAACGTCATTTTACACAGCCGTATGAGTTTTGAGGGGATGCCAAATTCAGACATAGCGGCGTATAGGCAACTCCTTTTAGTGCTGTCAAAAGCGGCTTTAAAGTCGACAAATAGGTGGTGAGTGTCGATCCTTTTCTCGCGGGTCTTTTCCAAGATTTGGCGTATTGTGAATACCTGGTCTATGGTGGATTTGCCAGGTCTAAAGCCACACTGATAAGGCCCAATCAGTTCATTGACGGTGGGCTTCAGTCTTTCGCACAATACGCTCGATAAGACCTTGTAACCTATGCTTAGAAGGCTGATCCCGCGGTAGTTGGCGCGAATGGCGGGGTCACCTTTCTTGTGGATTGGGCAGAGCACACTTAAATTCCAGTCGTCGGGCATGCGTTCATCTGACCATATTCTGCACAAGAGTTGATGCATGCACCTTATCAACTCCTCGCCGCCGTACTTGAATAGCTCAGCTGGCAGGCTGTCAGCTCCAGCGGCTTTGTTGTTTTTCAGCCGCGTTATTGCTATACGTACCTCGTCATAGTCAGGCGGTGGGACGTCGACTCCGTCATCATCGACTGCGGGCTCGGGTTCTTCTTCTCCACAACTTTCTGTGCTGCTGCCATTTAGTAGGGCGGAAAAGTGTTCCCTCCATAATTTAAGTACGCTCTGGACATCAGTTACTAGGTCGCCATTATTGTTCTTACAGGAGTGCGCCCCGGTCTTTAAACCTTCCGTAAGTCGCCTAACTCTCTGGTAAAATTTTCGGGCATTCCTCCTGTCGGCCAGCATTTCAAGCTCTTCGCACTCACGTATTTCTGCCTCTCTCTTCTTGTTGCGGCAAATACGTCTCGCTTCCCTCTTCAGATCCCTATAGCGGTCCCACATAGCGCGCGTTGCGCCCGATCGCAGCGTGGCCCTGTAGGCGGCATCTTTTTTCTCTGC